CTATCTATCTATCTATCTATCTATCTATCTATCTATCTATCTATCTAAAAATAGCATGGATACAGATTGAAAAAAAGAAAAGTGAATAGGATAGTAATTTGCAAGAGGAGAAGTGGATGCAGAAAAAAAAATAATTCGTCCAAGATTGGATTTCACAGAATGTTCTCTGTTTCTTTTATTTCTTTATGTTCTTTTCTTGTTCAACTGGCTACAGCAGAAAGGTCAGAAAATCCGAAACAATTGTAAGCGAGGATTATTCTACGCCTTATTGGCTTTCTTTGCAGGGTAAAATAAATAGCATGTTTGAATGAGTTCAGCAAAGTTTAAATAAAGGACAGAGTGAATAATTATAAGCATCAGCCAGATGTCCTGGTCCCCACCCTGTTGCTGTTTCTGGTATAATTTGTTTTCTGGGAAAAAATTTTTTACAAGCACTTAAAGTGTTGTGAAAACTTAGGATGTGCAAAACCTTTGAAAAATAAACTATCTCCCTTTGTAAAATGTAATTCCATCCATTAAAGGACTAGAATCCTTCATTTTATACAAGTCAAAACTTTTTGTTCTTGGAATCGTAGAAGCTGACGGTAACTTTATACCTAGAATGAGACAAACTATTAAAGCAAAAAACCCCAATACCTCAATCAAGGAACTACAAAGGAGAAAATCGTACTTCCACCCCACGCCAGCAAGGCGTGCTTCTGTATATATATAATAGGGAGCAAATCCCACTCAGTAGCACTGATGAAGTTACCTGGTTGGATAAGGAAATGTCTGTGAGAAATCAGTCAAGCTCAGAGAGCAGCAAGAAGCTCACAATCTTTCTCATCCTCCTCTCTGCAAACCCCACTCCCTTGCAGCACTGATGATGTTACCTAGCTGGGTCATGAAACGTCTGCAAGAAAACCACAAAGAGCCCACGATTCTCCTCCTCCTCCTCCTCCTCCTCCCATTCTCCTCCTCCTCCACAAACCCGAACTCCCTTCTAGCACGGATTATGTTACCTAGTTGGGTCATGAAATGTCTGCAAGAAATAAGCAAGCTCAGGCAGCACAAGGACCCCAGTTCTCGTCCTCCTCTTCCTCCTCCTCCACAAACCCCCCTCCCTTCTCGCCCTGATGACGTTCCCTAGTTGGGTCATGAAACGTCTGCAAGAAAAGCACCAAGCTCAGAGACTCCAGAGTTGAAGCCTATTCTCTTCTACTGAAACTGTATTTTCATAAGTCCATCGAGATATCAGATTTGCCTTTCCTTACCATGAATTTTTTTTTGGGGGGGGCGGTGGGGGGCTGGTGTGAGAGAGCAGCCTCCCACTACTCCATAGCCACCAACTTCTGATTACAAAAGCATAACAGTTCTTCCAAGAACCCAAGGGGGGTAGTTTACTTTTCCTTGGAAATGTTCCAATTTCTCTGTTGACTAAATGCCAGGCTGTGTTGTCTATTTTGTCTGCAGAGCTGGTACCCTTGGGCCAAACTTATCTCTCCCCTCCTTCTCTCCCTCTGTCTTTCTCTCTCTCTCTTTCTCTCTCTCTCTCCCCCTTTCTTTCTCTCTCTTGCAACCCACTTGGCTCCAGGAAATGTCACCTAGCAGCTGCCTTCGAAAGCTTGATTTCTCCCACTTCTTTTACGGAGCCCATCAAACCGACGGAGTGGGCTGCTTGGATGAACAGAGAACAATGGCCTTGTTCCACCCAACAGCGTAGACAACTTCCCGAAGCAACAAGCCATAAACACACACACACAACTGTGCAACTTCTCACCTCCCTCGAATGAAGTTGAGGGATGGTCTCTCCTCCAGCCCCGCAGTAACGTTGTAGGCTAGCTTAAGGTGGGATCATCAACCCAGGAATCCAGGACAATCAGGATGAAGGAGGTTTAAAATCTCACGCGTTCTCACCGGTGTATGAAAAAAAAAAGTGTCCCTTCAGAACCACAGAGTTGGAAGGGACCCTGGAGGTCCAACCCCCTGCTTAGGCAGGGAACGCCATACTAATTTAGACAAATGGTTGTATAATCTCTTCTTGCAAACCTCCAGCAATGAAGCACCCACAACTTCTGGAGGCAAGTTGTTCCACTGATTAATTGTTCTAATTGTCAGGAAATTCCTCTTTAGTTCTAGGTTGCTTCTCTCCTTGATTAGTTTCCATCCTTGGCTTCTTGTCCTGCCTTCTGTACACTTCTGCACACTTTTCTAAGTGTGTTTGTTTATTCTTTCTACTGCAAAGGTACTGTTCTATGGATGTGAAGCTCCCAAAACCAAGAACCTCATGCAAAGTAACTTTGAAGCGGTTTCCTTTATGGTTCCTCACCTATAGACAGAATCTTGCCAGACTGAACAACTAAGATCCATGGTGGTGCAGTGGTTAGAATGCAGTACTGCAGGCGAACTCACTTCTCACTGCATGAGTTCGATTCTGAGTGGCTCAAGGTTGACTCAGCCTTCTATCCTTCTGGGGTGGGTAAAATGTCGACCCAGATTGTTGGAGGCAATATGCTGACTCTGTAAACCGCTTAGAGAGGGCTGTGAAGCGGTATATAAGTCTAAGTGCGATTGCTATTGCTGCTTGTATCCTTAGAGATATAACGAGGAGCTGACTTGACTTCCTTACCCTGAAACAAACTATCTAAGCTTTGGCGTCTCTCGGTCTCTGGGAATGCATCCAGGTAATCCAGACTACATTCCACCACAATTAAGTGGTTCTATTGATTGACTGAGAGAAGGGCCATTCTCCAGAACCTTCATCTGGAAATTCCACAGCAGGCCTCCAAATGTTCCAGTGGTTGATTTGGGAGGCCAGGCCATCTCCCACAACAACCTGCTCTAAGATCTCCTCCCATGACCTCCAAGCCTCCTTTAATAAGTATGTAGAAGTGCTGGAGAGGTCTATACATCCCTAAATCATGTAGCAAGAGGTGGACTGGATCTTCAGACCAGCCACAACTTTCATTCAAATGCTACTTGCTTGTTCTGAGGGTGTCCCTCATCTGTTCCTGCTACCCTTGTTATGGATGGCACAACCAGGATTAAAGCAACTCCCAGAATTCTTCAGCCAGCCTCATCCTCAAACATCTTCTGAGTTGTGGTTGAAGGGCCCATGGAGATGAACCTACGTCATGCAATGTAAAGCACCACACACTTCAAGGTGTCGTTTCTATCCTCAATTTCCTTGGAAATTTCCCCTCTGGGGAAACATCTTACCATGCGAGACGCAATTGTTCACGGAAACGATAAGGAGAATGGAATTGGAGCTATCAACCGAGATTCCTCGGAACAACAGGGGAGCTGTTAATTTCCCTCTGCCAAGTTTTGAATAGTGTGTGTGTACATGTGTATGCGTATGTGTGTGTGTGTGTGTGTGTGTGCATCAGTCACACCATAAAAAATTTTCCTTTGTACTTCTTAGGAAACACATTGTGGGCTTTTTGGACTGAGCCAGTTTCAAACAAAAACGGAAAGTCAGCACTATTATTTGGCTGAAATTCTTCTAATAAAAAAAGTAATAATAATAACCCAATGTTTTGAATCTCAGTGATAAACCAGTCTGTAGCTACCAGGAAATTACTCCCAGATCTGAATAGCTCCCAAATATCCCAACTGGGTTCAACATTATATTGATTGCTCAAGTTTAACATTCTGGTCCCAAGGACTAGCCTAGAATGATAGTTTGCCCTGATTCATCCATGATCCC